GATTTCGCATTTTCTTGAACGAAATTTGATGATCTGTCGGTACGTCTTCTCGATATTCTCCTGACTTTGTTAGATTGGTTGTAAGATTAACTTATTATTTGTGTATAAACAATCTTAGGATATGATTCATTAGTGTATGATTTTGGTAACTCCTCTGTTAGTATCTAGAGATACTGATGTAGAATAACCTAGCATGTGACTGCGTAAATAGAAATGTCGAGAGAAAATAAATTGGAAGTTCGATTTAGGAATTCTAGGTGAATGAAGCTGTGATAATATTAACTTCAAACAGAGTAACCAAGATAATTTGAATTAGTATTTAATTGGTAGTGATCGTCATATTTTGCTTGTATAACACATGTAGTCTAGGTTAACAAGCTGCTATATAGTGGTGTTTGGTAAGAATGATTTCGTTTCTTGATTGTGAAGAGTTCGAAGACTGAATTGTAATAATGTCAATTAGAATGGTAGAAGTAATATGTTTTTAGTCAAACTGTGCAATATTAGCGCAATGTGCAATATTAGTGCACTGCCCGCTCTATCTTAATTTTGCTAGCTTCCCTTTAAACCTAGGAACTGAAAAAAAAAAAATAAAGAAAAAAAAAAACCCCAAAAACCCTATTGTTGTACTATTGCACCTGTTCTTTTTCGCCCGTGTTGAGAGATGCAGTTTTTAGCGCTAGTTTAGTTATTCCAAATCGGAACAAATACGTAAAACCTCAGTCTGAGAGTACTTCCGGAAAATCTTCCAGTCGTTCCTCTCAGACAGAGCCCTCACCGTTTCACTTTGTCCCTCGTTATCCTCTTCGTACGTACAAGAGAACTGTCTTAGGTTATTAATGTTGTACATCATTGGTAACCATTTGAAGAGCAGAAGAAGAGTTGGGTTATTATGACAAGGTTAGTGCATTTTTTTTATCACCGTTTGTGCAATTCATTTCTTGGTCTTCCCATATAAGTTGAGCAAAATTTGCTTAAAAAATAGTATGTTTGCATCACGAGAATGTAAAAACAAAAAATTGTGATGATTTTGTGTCGAGTTGATTGGTGCAAAATTTGTGCATATCACGAAATATATATAATGTCTTGTTATGTGCATTTTTTGTGTGAATCTGGAGCTATTGAAGTTATTTTATTTGGTCTATTTTCTTTTTTTCATTTATCGGTATATATTTTGTTTCTATAACTAACAACTTCGTAGTTTAACATGCTAGAGATATTTGGCACAAATTATTTTGTTTCTTGAATTGGAAGATTGGATTATACTAGTGTAAATTTGAATGGTAGAAGAAATCCGTTTTTAGTTATATTGAGCAATATTAGCGCAATGTGCAATATTATTACAGTGCCGGCTCGTTCTATCATAATTTAATTAGTATAGGTAATTGTATATTAATTTTGTGAATCTCTAAGTGTAGTTGAATTTTGGACAAGGAAAATGAAGAGAAGTGTCATCTCAGCACATACATTACATGTCTTACAACAAACACTAGTTCCTTTTAAACCTAGGAACTGAAAAAAAAAACTGAACCCCTGTTGTTGATCTATTGCAGTTGCTTCTTTTCGCCTGTGTTGAGAGATGTAATTTTTTAGCTCCAGTCTAGTTATTCGTAAATCACAACAAATACGTAAAACCTTAGCCTGAGAGTACTCCCAAAACATTTTCCAGTCGTACTTCTCAGTCAAGGCTCTGACCATTTCGCTTTGGGCCCTCGTTATTCTCTTTTTGCGGGCAGCACCCTCGTAGGCGGTGTTAGAGTAGGTGACCAACAAGCCAACTTGTGGTTGTTGTCTTCTCTTCATCCTTGTAATAAAACAATCGTTTTTCGTTCGTAATAATAAAATATTTCATTTGGCATTCTATATCTCTTATCCCATGCAAGCAGCATAGATATAGTCCTAACAAGTTACTCTATTACTGTGAGTTGATCTAGTAGAATCGTGAGATAACTCAGCAATGTAATGTAACTGTTAAACCTTGTTCCTAGTCGATGGGTTACGCCAATAATGAGGATACCGGCCTTTCCCTTTTGAGACTAGCACTTAGTGTATGTGTACTGCGTCTCATCAGTCCTCGGTGTTGTGACATCGGCATACTTGAGTGGGTGCTCATACTGGATGAGTTCACTGAACTCCCTCGCCCTAGAAATCTATAAGTGGTTCTCATTCATCGAGTAATAGGTTTCTAAGATATAGTTGTACACCATAAGTCCTTAAGACCCAGACATCACCGTGACTTCACTAGAGGACCAGTTGTATCGTGACCTGTCCCTGAGTCCCACAGCGGACCACTCCAAGGGCCAACGTTCGTGCAATCCGAAATCTAGTGTGAAGTCTGTGCATTGTAGTAGGGGATTCGAGCGCTTGAGTAGTCATGGATGTCCTGTGTGTTCTGACGGTTTATAATCCAAGGAATCGCTGGCCAGAGTTGATAGTGGGGTGATTAGGGAAATGTGTTTCCCTAAGTCGCACACGAACGGATTTATAATACCTAGAACGTTCGCACGGTTATTGAACTTAATAAGAGGTCTCGGTGAACCAATGCCTCTAGTTCAATCGGGACATGTGCTGCGAAGGGATCGTAATGTACGCTAACTATATCATAAGGTTCTTGCAGGCACTTCACTTGTATCTAGGGAATCATGATACATAGTTGCTAGACGCCAATCTTGATTCGTTGGGCACCGATTTGATCGGGGATTAGGTAAATTGAGTTTTACTCTAATCGGGACTCTTGGGAGGAGTTTGTATATGAACAATGTGTTGTTCGAATCACAAAGAGTTGTGAGCCCACGGCTAGTATACACCTGAACCATTGAGGATCACACTTCTCGTGTAATATAGATCCTTGATAACATCAAGCATAGATTAATATGTTAATCTTTGAACGATTGGATGTCGATATGATTGAATCCAAGATTCGTAATTGTGAATTGCGAATCGGAATAAACGTGGAGAAAGAGAGAAATGCGGAATTTAGTGAACTTTCTAAATTGGGAAGTTTCCCGATTTAGCAAGTCCACTGAAGTGGAAGTTTCCAATTTTGGAAATTGGAAATTTCGAAGAGGCACTCGTATCGACGAGGACTTTGAGCTCGTCAAAAATATAATTTTGTTATAATTTTGTGAACGATCGTTTATTAGAAACGAGGCCGACGAGGGAATGGGCTTAATGCATCAGTGGGTCAAGCCCAATGACTTAAACCCACTAGAGTTGAAAACCCTAAGTATAAATAGACCTCAAACAAGAGTTTGAGATCAGATTTTTTGCACCAAAACCCTAGCCGCCCAAGCCCTAGCCGCTCATCCCTCTCGGTCGTTGCATCCCCGCCGCGCCGCTGCCGATCGCCGCCGATAGTCGCCGGTTTTCTCCTCTCTATTCCTTCGTTTATTCTTGTTGTTTATCTATCTCGTTTACATCTAGTGCTGTAGTTTGAGTGGGTCAAAAATACGAGGTGAAACCTAATAGGAGAGGAGCTGCTGCCCCGACGGAATCCACGCACCGCCGCTGCACCGCCGCACGCACCGCTGCGCCGTCCACGCGCCGCCGCCGCTGCTGCCACGCGCTGCCGTCCGCCGCCTGCTGGATCAGTTTGCTCCAGCCGTGAGTTGCAGCCCCGAGGATTGGTAATTTGCAGCTTGTACGTGATTGGTTCTAGGTTTCGATTCGTTGAAATCTCACGCTACAAGAGGTAATTAAATCGAAACTTTCGTAGATTGATTAGATCATGTTTGTATGAATTTTAATTTATGAGCATGAGTAATATGTGATTACGTGTTTCGATTTTATTGTATGATGAACAAGCATGTTTTATAATTTTCGGTTTTACATGTTTTTAAATAAAATCGATAATTACCATATGTATGGCGGAAGCGTTAAGGTACGTTGACTATGTGATTAGTTTATGCATGTAATCGAAACTAGTTCGATCTAAAATTTTTAAATTCCGCTACGTATACATGCACGATCCCCAACAGGCGGCACTGAGCATGGCCTCGCGGGATCCTCTATTGGAGGCTGTATGGTTGTGCATACACTATTTGTATAGCATTTCCACTTTCGATGTATTGCTAGTCTCCATTTATTTTCAAGAATGCAAAATGTGTTTTTTTTTTTCCTTTTTTTTACTGCAGAGTGTGTATATTAGATGGTGAGTGAAATGAAATGATGGAGTGGTGAGTTTATATTGACGGTGAAATGAGTGTTCAGAGCGCAATTTAATTTTTACGTGTAATCTCATTCTTGTAATTTCAATAAAAAAAAGAGACGAATTGTAAATCAGAGATGTATATACATCTCAGTGCATACAAAATATCTTTTACGTGCAAGTTGTCTTAGGTTATTGTTGAGCACCTTTTGCACAATTTAATTTTTGTTCTTTTAATTTAAGTTGAGCAAGAGTAGCTCAAACAATAATATGTTTGCATCTTGAGAATGTACAAATGGAAACTTGTGATGATTTTGTGTCAAGTTGATTGGTGCAAAGTTTGTGCATTTCATGTGCAATTGGAACATGTAATTGATCATGCTTTTAGATTTCTTTATGATGAAATATTTGGACGAGCTCTAGAAATTACACTTTTTTTTAGCGAGCTTTGGTATATTTATTTCATGTTTTACAATCGTGTTCCGATATGACTAATTTGTGGAGGCCCCCCCGTTCGAGATTATTCACAACTCGGAGTTTTCATCTTTATGGTGTTGGATCGAATTTCTCCAACAAAAACTATCAAAGGACAATTTTCTCCTCGCCTTGGTCGTAATGTGGAAGGCCTGGGAGTGTCGGAAGAAAAGCCATTTACGACGAGGAAGGGATTTCCGTAGCCGATCTTCCCATTTGGAGCAATTATTTTCTCCAATCTTTTCACCAATCTCTCCTCCCTAATGCTCAAGACTTGCAGCCCGCTCACCCTTCTTCATGGCTTCTTCCTAGTTGTGGTACCATTAAAATCAATTTTGATGTGGCCTTTCCTTGTGGCAGCGATCATTACCGAGTTGCTATGGTGGCACGTGGATCAGATAGTGTATGTCGTTGGTGGAGTATTGGTTCATTTCCGGGCAAGACAAAACCGGTGGATGGAGAAGCCCATGCGGCACTGTATGCGATGTGTATTGCTCGTAGTAAAGGATGGGACTCGATCATCTTGGAAGGAGACTGTCTCCAAGAGATTAATCCTATGCGTCTGAGAGATGACTTTGTCCCTTCTTTTGGCGCTTATATTGAAGGCTGCATAAACATGATGTCGTTTTTCTCTCGTTGTACTTTTTCCTTTATCAGACGGCAAGGCAATAGCCTGGCTCATTCTTTAGCGACAATGGCTTGTATGGAATATGCAGATGGGATTTCACTTCCTTCTTTTTTGGCCTCTGGTACCTAATGATATGTGTTCGTTTCAAAAAAAAAAAAAAGCCACGGTGCCAAATAAATTAAACCCTTATTTCTTCGGCATCCTACAACAATGAGCTCTAGAGTTGAACTCAAATCGAAAACCAGTTGAGAAGATTTCGCCAAAGACAACTCCTAATTCCTCGGTTGAAGGTATTTTTTTTAAGAATTTTGTGTTATGAACAAATTTTGCTGCGTTTTTGTTCTTGAAATTGATATACTAGTATGTATATGCACAAATTTGAAATTGATGCGGATGATCACATTTCTGTGTCGATGTTGACAATAAATGAAGCTATGGGTTATGTTATTTCTAAAACTTCTCATTTAATTTCTTTTTTTGTGGGATTTTTATGTTATACCTTTCATATCTACTCTTGTTTCTGGTATTTGTATTTGAATGTTTTCAAAGTTACATCCATAGGAATATATCTTAATCTGGTAAAATTGGCAAACAATTACCTCCTCGTAAATACTACTGCCAGATCGGTTTTAGATTTTACCCAATTTTTGTTTAATGGAGGTGTTGTTTAAAAGATTGGCCATAGTTAATGTTGTTTCGGTGGGACGAATACTGGTTCATTTACATTGTTGTTTTCACAAAACGTTTCGCTCGAAAATATTGCGTTGCATAATTATTCGTTTTCCAAGGAATTTTCTTCGTATATTCCATATCTACTCTTGTTTCTATTTATAGGAATATCCTAAAGTATATATTCCGTAGTTTTGTTCGACCAGGACTGCACATATTTTACAGTTATTACGTGCTGATTATTTGCTACAAATGGGGCCAAGACGTGTTTTAAAACTCCCGTACGACGACTTGGCTTGTTATACTGATAACTTTTACGAGAGAAACTACATCAGCTATGTCCAATTTGGCAAATATTATCGTGGCAAGATTGTGCGTGCTGAGTGTACACAATATGTGACGGTGAAAATATGGGAACACCCAAAAATATATAATCATTGGACTGAAGACAACGAACGCCGACTAATGGTAATTTTTGTCCTTTTTTGTCCATTTTATTTCAAATACTCTTTTCTTTTTCGATTGAATCATGAATTTTATAAATTGCATAGGATGAAGTAATGTTGCTTCGCCATGAATTGCTGAATAATCATTGAGGCATGGTCAAGTTGTATGGATATTGTGAGGATGATGATGATCATCTTGGTGTTGTTTATGAACTCGACCTGTTGGACTCGATTTTTAACCTCGTTCCTAAAGGTTTCAATTTTTCAAATTAGATTTACTAAATAGAAACTTGTGCATAAATTTTAATACGCACGAGTTGTTGTTTTATGTAGATTGCTTCACTTTGATGCAAAGAATCAAAGTCGCACTCGGCTTTGCGTCCCTCCTCAAATTTCTACACGCTCGAAAGGTTTCGATTTACAAACCTTTCATAATCCGCAACCTCGATTGTGCTCATATAGTGGTCGACAACGTATTTGTATTAAGGTTTTTGAATTAAAATATCCTAATGCGAACGAGTGTAAGCAGTAATTAAGTTGTTGTTTTTCGTATGCAGGATTATAATCCAAAACTGTGTGATTTTGGATTGATCAATGGCGGAATTTTCCAGGACAGGACAATATATAAATGATACCAGGTCCGTGTTAGAAAATTTATCGTACATACATACAAATTCCCAGGAACCAACATGCTTGAATCAACGAGAATTAAACATAAACATAAACACGGAAGCCTACCATACATCATGAAATCGAATCATCGAATCTCCACTGGATTTGGGACAGGTCTTCCAAAGAATCCGAAGTTGCTTAATTATCTCTCTAACCATGGATTTTAGAAGAGACGGAATGATTGCGTTTCTTTGGGGATCATGACCCTTTATATAACTGTAGAGTCCACTTATATTACAACTGTGATTCAGCCCCATCAATAAATCACAATTAAGCCCTATTGTCTCTACAAATTAGGCCCATAATTATAGTTTAATCCCCGTAAGTCCAACCCAATAATATTTATTAGATCACAATTAATTTGGACTTTATTTTAGATAGTCATACACATTTACGTCACATTATATGAGCCCACATAATTATTGAAATAATTCCAACAATCTCCCACTAGGGGCCGCATATGCTATATACCTTATAAATAAATGTGTACACCTTATGAGCTCAAATATTGCTATTATATAAAAAGGTATTCCTTACAATCTCGTCCATTGATCATACTAATATAGGACTAAAGAGGCTTTCGTCCCATTGATCGTGTCTAAACCCAACAGTAATCACGTACACCAATATAGCCAAAAGACATAGATCAAATTACGGTCTGTAGCATGGAAATTACATATAACGTGATCTTAACATGCCTATTTCCAACTGGTCCTACTTTAAACTTTATTGAGACCAAACCTTAATATAATTGTACAAAGCGCAACCAAATACTTTTTTTCTGCAGAAAACTAAATACACAACTTTGTATCCAAACATATCATAGAGCTACCGAAATGTGTTTATATGTACACATATATACAAACTCCCACTGAACCAAAATATCCTTAAATGATATAACACCTACATGAGCAACGCTAATGAATACCTTATGTGTTAATCCTTAAGTAAGCGGATTCACAATTGTGGAGTTTATCTTAATATTCTCTATGTACTGTTCATTCTGTACCTTGAACAATAAAGACCTTTCACAGGCTCTTGTTGTTGTTCAAAAGTATAGCTGTTAAATATTGTCACCGTATAACTGTAATACAAATCAAATGTGCAGCATAGTGTCAAAAGTTTATAGCTATATTCCAAAATAGGATGCCAAAAATTACCATAAATTCTTAACCATCATGAAAAGAGCTTAAAGTGTTTGATTGACACCCATGTCGAAATAACTCAATCATTTAGACCTAAATTAACCAAAATGGATCTATAGTTTATACACGTCATAAAACTCAAATTCAGAAATAAACCACATGATCTCCCAAAATATCTGATTTTGATAAATGAGCATATGTATATAACTTACATTCCCTATAAGTACTGTATAACCCATTTGGCTACTTTGATAAATGATCCACTTTATAGGGTTATTCAAATATCTGCCTAACTTTATGCATGCCTTAACCGAATGCGTGCATTATTTTACTTTAAAATATCTATTGGGGTATTGAATGAGACTAAACAAGTCTCCTTTATTGAGAGATTATCTCCCACTGATCCTTGGGTATGTACAATCATTAACTATATTTATCTGAGAACACATATGAGATAATTAGCTTAGGACTGTAACATCATTAACGGAAATTTTACTTTCATTAATGAAATACTTTAATTTGCAATCAATATCCTTCAAATCTTTAAATACTAAGATTTTATGGTTGCACTTTATTGTTCCATAAATGTTACCATTTTAGAAACATATTCTTTGAGTCCATAAATCTCTAAATGGAGTAGATATGAGTGAAATTATTAATGACTAAACGTACGATATGTCTTTCAATATTGCCAATTTAAATTACATTTGGTCTCAATTATTTATAACAAAACAATTTCGCACCTTATGGCAATTCGATAAGATCATAATGTCTTGACATTCTAAATTGGAACTCATCTTTAACGCTTTATTATCTTAAGGTTGTTGAGTTTGCTCTTAGTCACAACTATCAAAACTTGATTGAGGAATTGTTCAATATTGTCTTGTCAAAACTCAAAATCTAATTTTCAAAAAATGAAAAGTATAAACACATGTACATTGTCAAAAGCAGTATTAGGAATCAAATTGATTCCTCTGTTAGAGTATGTGACCAACAAGCCAACTTGTGGCTGTGGTCTTTCCATTTATTATTGTAATAAATAAACCTTTTTCGTATTAATGATAAAACACCTTGGCAATCTATATCTTTGTCCCTTTGTCACAAGCATCGATATAGTCCATATAGTTATTACAAGTACGAGTAATTGATCGTTAGGATCGTGAGACATTTACTTTAGTATTATAACTCTTCAACGTGTTCCTAGTCGAAGGGTTACGCCACCAATGAGGATATCGGCCTTTCCCATTAAGAGACTAACACGTAGTGTATGTGTACTGCATCTCATCAGTAAACGGTATTGTGATATCGGCATGCATAAGTGGGTGCTCGTAAGTTGACGAGTTCACTGAACTCCCTCACCCTAGAAATCTCTAAGTGGTTCTCAATAATCGAGTAGAGATATCTATGGTATAGTGGTACATCATTAGTCCTTATGACCTAGACATCACCGTGACTTCACTAGAGGACCAGCTGTATCGTGACCTGTCCCTGAGTTCCACCGAGGACCACCCCAATGGATAGTGTTCGTGCAGTCCGAAATCTAGTATGAGGTCTGTGCATTGTAGTCGGGGATTCGATCACTAGAATAGTCTTGGATGTCATGTGTGTTCTCATAGTTTGTAATCTCTAAGTCTCTGGCCAGAGCTAACTAAGTGATGATTAGAGAATTCGATGCTCTAAGTCATGCACGTAACGATTACAACACTTAGAATGATCGTACAGTCTTTGAACTACTAAGGAGGTCTTGATGAACCAATGCCTCTAGGTCAATCGGGACACATGAATCGAATGGATCGTACTGTACGCTAACTATATCAAAGGGTTGTTGCAGGCACTTCTTTTGTATCTAGGGAATCATGACACGTAGTTGCTAGAGGCCAATCTTGATTCGTTGGGTGATTAAGGTGAAACGAGCTTCATCTTAATCGTAACTCTAAGGGATGAGTTTTGACCATTAAGGGTTGTGGGCCCACGGTTAGCTTACACCTGAACCATATAGGGTCACACTGCTCGTGCACATGAGATCTTTGAACGAACGGTCAAAGGTAAAAATGTTTTATCTTTGCATGATTGGAAGTCAATATGATTGGGTCCAACATTCGTAATTTGGAATTATGAATGAGAATAAGAAAAGGAAAAGAATAGGCAAACATCTTAGTGGACTCTCTAAATCGGGAAGTTTCCAAATTTAGAAAGC